ATCACCAGCATTTTAATTTCAATTATTTGTAGAATTTCTAAATCAGTGTACAGTAAACATATACATATTCTTGTAAAAGAATATGTATATGTTCAGAGTAAAATCTTTAAATTGCGTTTTTTTTTTTTTTTTTTTTTTTTTTTTTTTTTTTTTTTGCCAAATAATTTTATTAATAATACAAATTTTAACATATTACAAATTTAGCAGCAGGACTTCTAGAAGATCACGAGGATCTTATCATGAAGCCCTTTACAATGCTTTTTAGTATCAAGTATAATATAATATAAATACGTAATATTATAATGAAGTTATAAAAATTCGTAAAATAACAAAAATAATATGAAGTTTAACAATACACAGTAATAAAAAGTAATAAAATACAAACCATTAAATACATAAGTTTGCAAAGAACTCATGGAAATATTCGTAAATAGTAAAACATACAATAAAGTATAATATATCAGCAATAAATAAAGATGTTTTCAATTGAAAAGATAATTTCTTTAATTTTGGTTTTGAATGAGGAGTAGTTTAGTTTGATTGAAAAGTCAAAATTAGGTAAAACTATTTTGTTCCAAAGAAGAGCTCCACAATAGGACATACAAAATTCGTCGTATTTAGTTTTGCAAAAAGGAGCATTAAGATTGTTGTCAATTCGTAAATTATATTTGTTTTTCGGTTTTAAAGAATAAAGATTTTGAAATAACTGTGGAGATAAATTTTCTTTACACTTGAACATAAAGCATAAAATATTAAAAATATTAAGTTGATAAACATTCAAAGCTTTCATATCTTTAAGAAGTGGCGCAGAGTGAGTAAGACGATTTTTAAAATTAATTGCGCGAGCTGCGTGTTTCTGATGATTAAAAAGAGTTTTAAGTTTTGTCTTTTGAGTGCTTCCCCATATAATATTTGCATAGTTTATATGACAGTGAACAAATGAATAGTGCAATTGAGTCAGCTGCCGTTTATTTAGTATGTTTCTAGCTTTATAAAGAATACCGATGCATTTGGAAACTCTAGAAGAGATAATGTTAATGTGATGTTTCCAAGTTAAATTTTCATCAATATAGATTCCTAAAAACTTTGTTACTTTTTCTCTTTTTATCATTACATTGTCAATATATAGTTCAGGTAACAAATGTGGTATTCTATGTTTTTTATAGAGTGGATAAAAAAGTGTCCATTTAGTTTTAGCTGTGTTGAGAGATAACCTATTTATTTTGAACCAATCAGAAACTTTTTTTTAATTCATTTGTCATGTTGTTGAAAAAAATATTAATATTTTCATGAGATAGAAATAAATTTGTGTCGTCTGCAAAGATTATTTTTGTTAGGCTTGAAGTTTTATGAAGATCATTTAGATATATTATAAAGAGAAGAGGTCCAAGTATGGAGCCTTGTGGAACACCACACGTTATATTCATTAGCACTTGAGACGAGGATTCTTTATTATAAATATATTGCTTACAATTTGTAAGATAGCTTTTTAACCAATTGAGGGTGTTATCTTTTATTCCATATGATAATAATTTTTTTTATTAGAATTTGATGGTTGACGGTATCAAAAGCTTTAGATAAGTCAATAAATACTCCTAATGTGAAATGAGATTTTTTAAAAGATTCTGAGATGTCGCGCGTAAGTTGGAGAATAGCGTGTTCTGTTGAATTGTTTTTTTTAAAACCAAATTGGTTTTTGTATAAGATTTTATTATTAATTAGATGGTCGTAAATTCGATTGAACATTATTTTTTCTAGTATTTTTGGAAAAGACTGAAAGAACTGAAATAGGGCGATAATTATTTATGTTTGTATGATCTCCTGTCTTGAAGACAGGAAATACTTTAGCTATTTTTAGACAGTCTAAAAACATTCCTTGACTGTTAGATGCTCTAAAGATTTTAAAAATAATGTGTTTTATAACATCACAAACGTCTATTATAATATTCACATTAATATCATCATTCCCAGTTGTTTTATTTCTTTTTAATGTACTAAAGGCAATTTCAAATTCATCATAAGTTAGCTCAGTAAAGTGAAAACTTGATGAAGTTGATGTTTGGAATTCAGCTGATTTATCGTCAGTATACGGAATACTGTTTGCTAGTTTAGTTCCAATTGTTGTAAAAAATTTGTTAAATTCAGCTGCAATATAGTTTGAGTCGTTAATTAGTTTGTTGTCAATTTTTATTTCATGTGGCAGAGAATTTGTATTTGTTTTAAGTTTTCCTGTAATTTCTTTCATTATTTTCCAGATTTGTTTCGAATTATTTTTATGTTTATTGATCAAGTAAGAGTATATATTTTTTTTTTTGCATTTTTGCGAAGTTTTTCAAATAAGTTTTTATAGGTGATATAGTTATTTTTATGTTTTACTGATTTTGATTTTAAATATTTGGTATATAGCTTTTGTTTTATTTTCGAGGATTTTTTAAGACCTTTTGTAATCCAGGGACATGATATGTCTTTTGTTTTTACAACTGTTTCACACATAGGAAAATTTGTATCATAGACTTTATAAAATGTTTTAAAAAAAGTGTTGTAAATTGTGTTTATATTATTATTAAAGTTTAAATGTTCCCAATTTATTAGCAACAAATGTTCTTTGAAGGAGTTTAAATTAATGTTGTTGAACAACCTCTTTTTTATGGTTACACTTTTTTGCATTCCTTTTTTAAAGTCTAGATTTACTGAAAAAAATATAGGAAAATGATTAGATACATCTGTTTTAATTATTCCTTTTTTAAGCGATATATTAAAAAAGTCAGTGGTTAAGATATTATTAATTAAAGTGGATGAATAGTTTGTAATTCTTGTTGGTCGATTTATTATTGGTATTGTTCCTGTTTCAAATAAATTGTTGTAAAATTTTCTAGTATTTTGATTTTTGTAATAATCAAAACAATCTAAATTAAAATCGCCAATCAAGTAATTTTTTTATTTTCAAGATTAGTTTTTTCTAGAATTTTCTTTTGTAAAAAATTGCTGAGGTCTTCAGTTCTTCCAGTTGGAGGCCTATAACAACAGCTTATTAGCAGGTTTTTTGATTTTTTGTTAATAATTTCAATAGTTAAAATCTCTTTATTTTCATCAGAAACACTCATATCGCGTCTAACATTATACAAAAGACTATTTCTAACATAAAAAAGTACTCCTCCACGCTTATTTATATTTCGCTCTAGGGTAATTGCATTAAAACCTGGGAGTTTGAGGTTTGAATTATTCTCAAAATCCTTGTTAGAAGACCACGTTTCAATTACGCAAATTAAATTAAAAGAATTATCAGTTTCGCAAATGACATTTAAAAAATTTTTTAAATTCTTTTTTAAACTCCTTATATTAATATGGACAACGTTCAAATAACTATTAATGTTATCAATTTTTAGAAAATATTTAACTTCATTTGGATAAAAATATTTGCATTCAAATTCTGATGTATCAATTTCGTTAAAATAGTTTAAATCAGGATCAGACTTTTCGTTAAAATTTAAAACGTTTGTTTGAAAAAAATTAAATATTTTTTCAAAATCATTAGAATTATTTGAATCCATATTAAAGATTAATAAATAATATAATATATGAATATATAAATAGTTCATTTAAATATCACGTGTATAAAGTTTGTTATAAATAACTTTAGTAAATTTACCTTTAGAACGTAACTCTTTTGCTTCGGCGAAAAGCTTTTTCCTGACTTCTATCGTCCGTTTGCTAAAATCTTCGTTTATGTAGATTTTTTGGTTCCAAAGTTTCAGATTGGTGTACTTTTCCAATATCGTGCTTTTGTCTTTGTAATTTAAGAATTTGATTATTATAGGCCTGTTTCTGGGTTTATCTGATTCTTTTCTTCCTACTCGGTGGGCTCTCTCTATATCTACATTATACTTAATGCCAAGCTTAGATTTAACAAATTCTTGGACTTTTTTCTCGCTTTCTTCCCATGATTCATTATCACAGTCTTCGATACCGTTGATTCGAAGATTGCTTTTTCGACTGCGATCTACTAATTCAGCCAGTTTATTAATAATAGCATCATCTTCTAGTTTCTTTTTTTCATTGCCTTGATTATTTATGTTGTTTGTTTTTTTTAAATTGGCTGCTTCGTTTTTTATATTTTCGTATTTTTCATTTATAAATTCCACAGATTTTTTTAGTTCATTAACTTCACTTTTTAAATATTTATTTTCTTCTACAATGATGTTAAATTTGTTTTCTAATCTTTCGATTTTGTCATTTAAAAGTTTAATTATTGTATTTTCATGTATATCCAATAGTTCTTTAATTTGGGTTATGGTAAAAATTTTTGACATTTTATATAGAATATTATGTAAATAAATAAACTTGCGAAGTTTCTAAAAAGCTCTAAAAAACGCGTCCGTTCGCTTCAACTATTAAAATTATTATTATTAAATTAAAAAATTAATTTAAATTTATTATTTTAAAATTTATTAAAAAAACATTTAAATTAGTTTTTGTAATTAACTGAAATTTTAATATTTATTTATATTTTGTTTATTTATTTGAATAAAAATGGCATTTCTTAAAGTTGTTAAATCCCCAGTGTGCTGTTTTTGCATTCCTGATGCAAAAATCTATTGGGATTCCAAGTATTAGGAAAATCACCCAAGTCATTTTCTAGGTGTTACATGTCATAGTTGTTTTGTTCTCATCAGATTATTGCTAAAATGTTAAATCAACATTATTTTAAATGGCAATATCTCAAGAACCAATACGTGTTTAATATGTGTTTAATACGTGTTTTTAAAGTTCTCAAAGTTATCATTTATTTATTGTAGACTGCATATAAAGGACTGCAAAAATATAAAGGATTGCATATAAAGTAAAAATGAATAAGTTCTAAGACAAATGGTTGACTTAGTCTGAATGATTTTATATGAAATGACCAAATATTGTTACATTACTATAATATAAACATAAATGTGTTATTAAAACTAAATGTAAAGTGGTATAAACATGTGTTATTTTATATTTATTTATAGTGACTGGGTCTGAAGTTGTTTTTGTGATAAGAAATAACCTTGACAAATCTGGTGTAAAAAAGGCAAAAACCATTAAAGCAAGTATTAATAAGCAAGCAAAGATGATAAATGTAAGTTTTTAGTTATCTTAGAAATATAAAATAAAAAAGTTTCTGTTTTGATATTGTAGTAATTATTATACTGTAATAACCATTTAACACTATTAGATACAATGATTGCCATAGTAACATATTTGAGTCAAATTCTAAAATGGTTCAAAGCCTACTAAACTTGCCAATAATGTCTTGGATTATGTGGAATTTTTTACAGAATAGTTATTAATATGTAGATTGAAGTAATTCATCATTATTTGGATTACTTGCCAGTTGGAAGTGGTTAGTTTAATTTTTCAAAATAGTTAAAAAAGAGGAATAGTAAATAAAAGCTCTTTATCTTACATATATACTACCTGTCCAAACCTTCATCTGATGTAATGAATCCTTTTATGTTGTTTAATGTGTCAAATGGTCTCTTCGCTATTACAAACAATTTTATTTTTTTTAATTTTTTTTTGGTTATTTTTCTTTCTTCTTTTTTTAATTTAAATTTTTATGAAATGTCCCTATTGATGTCATACTAAATTAGTGATCTTTCAGAAGATGAAGACTAAATTAGTGATCTTTCAGAAGATGAAGACTAAATTAGTGATCTTTCAGAAGATGAAGACTAAATTAGTTAATTCTTTCAGAAGATGAAGACTAAATTAGTGATCTTTCAGAAGATGAAGACTAAATTAGTGATCTTTCAGAAGATGAAGACTAAATTAGTTAATTCTTTCAGAAGATGAAGACTAAATTAGTGATCTTTCAGAAGATGTTAACTAAGAGTAAGGAGGATAGGATCTATGCATGAAGGTATTTTATCAAAAAATAAAACAATGATGGAAAAGTTTTAAAAGAAGAAAAGAAACATTAAAAAAAAAAAAAAATTTACTTTTTATTATTCTAGTTTCTTAAATAAAAAAATAAAGTAAATTAATTAAATGTTGAAAAAAGTTAAAAAAAAAATGATGTAACTCAAGTAACCAGTTTTTAAAAAAATATTGTCACAGAAATGAACATTCAAGATAGTAATTGTTGATTTCAAGAACATAATTGAGGAAGCAATTTAAGTTTATTTGACTTATAAAGGTGATTGGCAAAAAATGTGTATCGTTAATAACAGCAATCATTTTTATTTTGGTAACTCGTATAGATTTTTAGTTGCATAAATATTCAAGTCTAATATCTTTATTACTGAACATTAGTAGATAAATTTCCATAACAAAAAATGTAAATTCTTTTGAACTAGTATTTGTAAAAAATTTTATTATTAATATAAAAGTTCTACAGTAATGTAATATTAATGTTTTAATTTACAGTAGTAATTGTGTTTATTAACTTGATGGTTTGAATTGTGTACCTTATTCATTTGAATTATCAGGGATTATCTTTTTCTGGATATATCTGGAATTCTGAATGTTTCTTTCAACTTTTAGTTTTTCAGGATTTCCAAAAAGTTTTTGTAAATACAAATTTAAATATATATTTTGCCATAAAAAACGAATGCTTTTTAACTTTTTAAGTCATTTCCATACAAAAAACTAGAAAAGTTTCAAAATATTGAGAAAACCATCAGCTTAAAATTTAAAAATGCGGAATTAAATTCCTGATTTTTTTTTCAAAATTTTTTCTGGATTTTTCAAATTTATCCAGAATGATCAGAGTAATCATAAATACTTCCTAATTTTCATTAGATAAACTGATTGTACCTCTGCAGTATACTTATCTAAAAACATACTAAATTTGTAATAAGTTAACTTTCACGGTAAAAACTTTTTAATTTTTTGTGAATAGTAAAAACTATAAATCATTAAAAGGGTATTTTAAAAAAAGCACATTTTTTCCACAATTTCCTAATAATAATTGGAATATTAAATACTAAATTCCTTTTTTTGTTCAAAATGAAATTTTTGATGTATGTTTGTTTTGGGGTGCAGTATTTTTATTTATTTTTTTATACTTTAAACCTAATGTTTTAGTATTCTAAAGAAATACTTTTTATTTAGGAAACTGTTATTGTAAAAATGCTTCATGAGAAATGGGCAACATATGGTGGATGGACAGTGTTGCCACTTGTTGAACAGTAATTTTTATTTATTTATTTGTTCAGTTTCTGTTGTTTTGTTTCTTGTTAGTTTTTTTCAAATCTTTTAAAATTAAATTAAAAGCAGTATTAGTGCAGTGGTAGAATGTTTGTTTCATAAGATAAAGCGCTTGGATGGTAAAGCGTTTGCTTTATAAAAGTGGTAGAGTGTTTGCTTCATAAGAGTAGTAAACCATTTGCTTCATTATGTCTCTGCCATATGCTCTTAACTTATTTCTTTATGTATTTTTCATTAAGGCTCTTATTTTGAAGTTATAGGAAGAGTTGAAAAAAAAAAAATACTTTAATAAAAGTTAGTAGTTTTTTTAACCTTCAGCAGGTCCCCTTGCCCCAGTTTGATATTCAGGAGATTAATAAGGTGAGCTGTAATGCAATAATAATAGAATTATTTTTTTATAGAATTGATAAAATAATTTGTATTTTATTGATTAATTTCAGCTTAATCAAAGCACACTATGATAAAAAATGGATATTTTTCTGTGAAGAGACAACAAAGGTTGATTTAAGGGAAATACTTACAATTTTATCTAGGCATAATCATAATGAGGTAATGTTTAATTATTATGAGTTATTAGTTTGCTATTAGCTGCACCTGTTGAAACAAAAATTATGATGAATAGTTAACAAATTCTATAACACAAACACACACACACACTTAGTCCTGTAAATTATTAGTTGGTTGTTAACTCCACTTGCTAAAACAAAAGATTTTATGAATTGTTAATAAATTATAATCCTACATAAAACCATATATATATATATATATATATATATATATATATATATATATATATATATATATATATATATATATATATATATATATATATATATATATATATATATAAATATAGTATGTGCCAAAATTGTCACCATGTTTGAACAAAAAAATATTTTATTAGAAAAGCTGTGAAGAAAAATGAAATTTTAGTTTTATTAATTAAATTTAAGACTTAGCTAACTAAAAATATTTCTTTTCGTTAAATTTAGAAGATATTGAAATTTTTTAAAATTTTTATGTGAAAAGCTAATGGTGACAATTTTGTTGCAAATGAAAGCTATCAACATATTTGTCCACAGTTAATTAGGCATACGACATAAATTAATAGCCTTATGACTAAAATGATTGAGTTATGAACTTTTCACAGATTTTTAACAATTAAATATCATTTAAAGTTTGATTTTGTTTACAAAACATAAAAAAAGTATTGTTATTATCATCATGAGGAAAATAAATCTTGAACTAGAAAAAAATACAGTGGAAAGGCTTAAATCCGGACAATCTTATCGTGAAATCGCCGCTGAGTTCGGAAAGTCTCATAATCTCATATATAAAATCAAATTTCGCAATAATTTAGAAGTAAAAAAGCCTAAAAGTGGTTGAAGGAAAATTTTTACATCAATTTTTTTGCGCATCGCGACCCCCAGATGACCATGTTGACAGTAATTCACACATTTCATATTTTGCACACTTATTAACCTCAGTAAGTATTAGCTATGGTGAAAATTTCATGTTGGTGTTTTGCCTCCTTCTTGGTAAAAAATCTGCAAGAAATTTAAAATTTTCAAATGAATTTTTTGTTTAAAATTTTATTAAGGTATTTCATATTGTTAATATATAATTATTAATTTTTTTTTATTATTATTTTTTTTTTTTAGGTATTAATTTTTTTTAGGTATTTCATTTTTTTAATAGAAACATTTATAAACATATACTAAAAGTTTTATTGAATTATGAGAAAGTAGCATGTAAATTTGTATTTTTTTTGGTTGAATTAGTATGGAATGTTTTTATAAAAATATGTTATCACATTTTTTTTATATTTGATATAGATTCGATATTTACTGAATATGGTTAAACTGCCATTGTGCACATTTTTACTGTCGCTTCAAGATGAATGCCACAAAACAGTTCATACACGCAGTGTTGGCTTGCATAACCTGTCAGAATTATCCGATGCTAACTTTGAATTGTTGATGTTAAGAACCAAGCCTGTTGATCAATTAGAAAGGATGAACTGCAATATATGCTTCCACCACAAACAGGTTCTACTTGAAAAATTTGATAAATTGCAGCGGAGTTGTTGTGATCCATTCAATAAACATCAATGCAAAGTCAAAGTCACTGAGGGCAGTCAGTATTGACAAAGCCAAGGAGCTAACACTAACAACTGGGAGACACATCAAACCTGGTGAGAAGCTATGCCCAAGCTGTCGAAATTACGATACATCCCAGGAACCTAAACAGAGTTATGGACATTCAGCTAGTGATACCAATATAGAAGACGTTGACTTGGATCTTTCTCAACTAAATGACAGTATAACAAGCATTGGCTGCACACCAGTTAAGCTTCATGCAATGCCTGTTCGAAGTAGAATTTCGTATGCTAAACGTAAAATTGCAACTGCAACAACAGAGATCCAGAAGAAAGTAAGCAAAGTCATCCAAGTACCTCTTAATCTAGTTGTGAATGAAAGTGATGCTACAGAATGTGATGGTTTGCAATGACTTAATGAAACTAGTGACTGAATTAAAGATTAAGTGCAGTACAGTTTCCAGGCAAGAAAAAATTAAGATGGTAACACTAGTACCATCTAGCTGGAGCCAACAAAAAGTCTCACAGGAATTTGGAGTAACCAGGCACATTGTTAAACAAGCGAGAAAACTGAAAAAGTCATGTCGAATTTTGGCATACCCACAGAAAAAATATGGAAAAGTTCTCCCAGATGATGTGATTGAAAGTGTACGTAAATTTTTTGAAGATGATGAAATTTTCCGCATGTGTCCAGGTCAAAAGGAATTCTTGTCAATCAAAATTGATAGTGAATGTGTCCATAAACAAAAACGTCTTCTCCTTCTGAATCTCAAGGAGATGCATGTAGAATTCAAAAACCACCATGGTGCATTACTGTTGACTCGAGTGGTGACTCACCAAAATTTGAAATTTGCAGTTGCAGCACTGCCTGTTAGAACTGATTATAAAGATTTGCTTCTGAAGGTCATTTGTTCAACTGAGAATCGAGAATGCATGTTGCATCGTTGTTCTATTTGTCCTGGTATTGATGAACTGAAATCATTTCTTGAACAGCTATTTGATGAAGCTGATATGGATTTAGATGACATAATCAATTACAAATGATGGACCCATGATGATCAGTCAAAGCTCCAAGCTGTATGTGAGACTGTTGCTGACATTACTTCACTTTGTACTTCTGCTAAAACAACGGATCATCATTTCACAGCCAAGGCACAGTCATCCTACTTACGTCATCTGAAGGAGTGTTTGCTAGTTGGAACAGCAGTTGTGTTGCTGGATTTTGCAGAAAATTATTCTTATCTGTCAGGAAATTTATCTGTCAGGATGCAGTGCAAGGCTTCTACTGGGAAACATCACAGGCCACATTGCATCCATTTGTTGTGTATTATTGTGAGCTACCCAGAAATGACCTATGCTGCTTGTCTCTTTGCATTATAAGTGATGACCGTGAACATGTAGCAGGTACAGTCCATGCCTTCATTGAAATAGTGCTGATATTTCTCAGGAGCAAAATGCCTAATTTGCAGAAAATAGTTTACTTCAGTGATGGAGCAGCAGCACAATATAAAAACTGCAAAAACTTAAAGAATCTGTGCATGCATAAAACAGATTTTGGTATTGAAATGGAGTGGAATTTTTTTGCTACCAGTCATGGAAAAAGTCTTTGTGATGGTATTGGTGGTACAGTAAAGAGGCTAGTGGCAAGAACAAATTTGCAGGCAACTCTGCAACATCAAATACTAACGCCACATCAGATGTACGATTGGGCAATCAAAAACATTCCAGGAATTCACTTCTTTTTTGCAGCAAAAGATGATGTCGAGGTGCATCGTAGCTGTTTGGTTGAATGATTTGCTTCAATTCAAACTGTTCCTAGCACACGGTCACACCACCAGTTTGTGGCAGTAAGTGAAAACAAACTGAAGATATTCAGGTTTTCATGTGATGACTTGGGTACAATCGTCAATGTGTCACCAGAACCTGGCCTGGCAGTTGAAACGCCACCAAGTATAACAGATTTGCATCCAGGACAGTTTGTGGCTGTTGTTTATGACATTGATTGGTTTATTGGTTGCATAAAAGAACATTCTGATGAACATCAAGATATCTTGGTAAAGTTCATGAACAGAACACCTACAAACAGATTAACTTGGCCACATCATGAAGATATCTGCTGGATACCATTCACTAATGTGCTGTGCAATCTTCCACCATCAATGTTGTCTGGCAGTTCAGCAAGACAGTATTTCTATGATGATGAGCATTTTGACAGTTGCAAGAAACTGTTTGATAGTAGAACTGTGTGTAGATAGATAAGATACCAACAGTTAAATGCATTGGCATAATACGCTGATATCGCTTTACATGGTTGCTTGCATTGTTGATAAAAACAGTCTATAATTTGATTTTGTAACTTAAACTAACTATTTTTTCATAAAATTTAATTGACTGTTCATTGCTTTGATGATTTACCACAATACACTTTAATGTGCAAAAAATATTAAAAAAAAAAAAACTTAACGAAATATGGTTTTTATTATGGTTATTAGCAAATGATTTAGTAGGAAAGGCTTAAGACACCAACATGAAATTTCACCATAGCTAGTACTTACTGAGGTTAATAAGTGTGCAAAATATGAAATGTGTCAATTTCTGTCAACATGGTCATCTGGGGTCATAATGCGCACAAAAATTGATGACCGTGATGCATAACAGTGCCTACAATGAGTACACTATTATTGATTAACATGAATTTTCTATGAAAATAATAAACACATATATGGTACTTATTATTAGTATGACAAACATCATCCCATGTTTTATAGGTTCTTGGCTATATTGGGTAAAATATTGGTGAAAACTGTCTAAAGTGCAATGTTTGGGTATTTTTAGGGGTTATTGTATTCAAGCTACATTTGATATAAAAACACCATTAAAGCATGAAAAAATGAGTAAATGCTGAAAATTTCAGCCTGATACCTGTTTTAGTTTTTGAAATATTCACGTTCAAATATCGCGAAAATGTAAAAGTCACGTGAACTCGCGTCAACCCTTAAAACTTTAAAAAACCATATCTCAGAAAGTTTTTGATGAAATATTTCTAAAAATTTCAGCAATTGCTTAACTTTGTATGTACTACAAGCCCTGAAAATTTCAGGAAAATCTGAGATGGTGTGGTGAACAATTGTCAAAATGCTGGTTGAGTTGATATGGAATGACTCTAGTGTATAGTTTACTCCGAAGCTGCATATCTCTTGTTTTTAAAAAATCTAAATGTTTTTTTTAATAGCCCAAGTAGCATATTTGCTTTACGTGTTGCAACCTGTATATGTTGATTCCATTTTAGATCATTAGATATAAAGATACCCAGGTCTCTCTTAATATCCGTTGCCTTAAAAGTAAGTGATGTATTTCCATCATTCATTACATATTCATGATTACTATTTCCATAACCAAGGTGCATAACTTTACATTTGAAACATTTACTTCCATTTGCCATTTCCCTGACCATTCTGTGATATTGTTTAAATTGTTTTAAAAAATCAGACAATCAGCATCATGAAACTCAGGTCTCATTGCTTGTTACAGTTTAGTGTCGTCAGCATAGATTTTATGTACTGATTTTATCTTATTTGTTAAGTCGCTTATATAGATGATAAGTAATGTTGCACCAAGTACAGAGGCTTGTGGAACACCGCTTAGAACATCGGTCCAGTCGCTAGAGTGTTCACCTAAAACAGTTTTCTGTTTTCTACTAATAAAAAATGACTCAATCCATTTAAGAACATTGCCATTAATCCCATATGCTTTCAATTTATGAAGTATTCTATGGTGAGAAACTTTATCAAACGCTTTCGCGAAGTCTAAAGATGCAATATCGACAAAATTTCTTTTACTTAACGCTTTCGTAATGTAGTTGACACTTTCCAATAAGTTAGACATGCATCCTTTTTTGGATATAAATCCATGTTGATTATGTGAGATGCAACTCATTTTTCAAAATATTTAGTTATCTGTTCCCTAATAATCTTTTCTATTACTTTAAATGGAACTGACGTGATAGAAACTGGTCTGTAATTAGCGGCATCAAGGCGTCTTCTTTTTTTAAACAACAGTGTGACATGTGATTGGTGGCAAATTGGTTTCCAAGCTGTAGGTGTTGAGCCTTCAGACAGTACTTTATTGTAAAGTAAAGTAAGAGGGTAAGTCATTTGAGCTGCGCATTTTTTAAGTACCTTTGGACTAATGTTATCAGCACCAATAGATTTATTCTGGTTCAAACCTTTCAAATAAGTTAGCGCTACTTTAAAATTAATAATTATATTGCCTAAGTCCTCTTGATAATGCCTTCTCTCAAAAACAGGTAACTGACTATTTTTACTATCATCAACAAAAACTGATTTGAAGTGTTCCTTAAGATAATCTTTTTACCGAAATTTATATAGTCACCTTTATTAAAGTCATTTTTTGTTTGAGAAAGTAGTCTCATTTTTAGAAAGGACGACATAATCCCAACTCAATAATGTGATGACTTTGCGACAAATCACCTAACGGCAGAGAGCTAGATAAGTTGATTAATCTAGTTAAAGAGTCTGTAATAATTAAATCCAAAATGTTGTTTGCTTTACCATTAGATGCTTTGAATGTTGAGAAATTAACTAATTGTTCTAGGTTATGATTAGCCAAAATATCAAGAAAAACACTTGTCACACTATTTTAATCGCTTAGTAATTTGATCCTTTTAATCACCATGCCATTTGATATCTGGAAAGTTGAAATCACCTGCTAGTAACATACACTTATACGCTTTTCTATCAACAGCTTGCTTAGCCTAAATAATTGTTATATTTATATAATTTTTATGCCATAAAGGTGGTCTTTAGGCACAACCAATAAGAACAATTTCGTTACTGATTTTAATTTCACACTATATTTGCTCGGAGTTGCTGTTGTTTAAGATCTCTCTTAGATGACAATAAGATACCTTATTCACGACTAGATCACGCTTGATGTAGATAGCAATACCTCCACCGTGACCTATTCAATTTTTCTTTACTAGTGAGTAGTTTTTCAATTGAGAAGCAGATATTTCAGTAAACCATGTTTCAGAAATAAATATTTAATCATACATGTTTATGTCACAGAGTGCAGATAATTTGTTCATTTTATCCGGATTAAAAGAAGTTGCGTTAGTATAAAAACATTTTTAAAATGTATTTTTAGGGTTAGATTTAGCAGATTTTATTTTTGTATTTAAGGCATTTAAATAAGTATTTGCAGATAAACATTTAGATTCATGAATAGAAAAGATAATTTTGTTTTGATTAGCATTAATTTTTTTTTTTTTTTTATGAACTTAATTATGAATAGTTATAGTTTATAATTATGAAAATTAATTATGATAATTATGAATAGTTTTTTGTTTAGTAAAAAATAAAAGTAATCAGATTATTTTATTAATTATTTTATTTATTAAAAATTCTAAATTTGAAGTGAAAATTTTAGTGAAATTCTAAAATAAAATTTTGTTTATTTTTAGAAAGTTTTTCTTGGACATGCATTATTTGATTCTCAACCTGTTATCATACACCATTTTAAATTTTTGGATAATCCTAAAAGCTTTAAATATCCTGACTTTGATGCGGGATGGGCAATATCACAAGCATTACTAAAGCAGTAAGATGTTTTCTTTTTATTTTTTCTTATTTTTGGTCACAGTTTTGTTTTTTAAATATTCACAAAATATTGAGTTTGTTGTTTCTCATATATTTATATTTATCTGATTTATTATCAGAATGATTTATAAAGGTTATTATTGTGTTTAGCAGTTGTATTATTCAAGTTTTTTTATTTATTGCTAGAACATTTGAAAGACTGCAACGAAATAAAGTTCCTGGTTTCTCAATTGATGTTAAACATGAGGTTTATTTTTATGGGTTATTTATAATATTTATATTTATAGGTTTATTTGTAACTTGTTAACAAAAAGTTGGTTTAATAAAACTTCAAGTTTGAAGTTGTTTTCATGATTCTTAACTTATGTTTTTATGAATACTTCATATGAAAGGTTCTATTGTGCGTAGGATAGAAGCAGTAAGGAAAGAGGTATTGACATTCAAAGGTTTTTGATAAAGTCTGCCATGCTGGTCTACTCCATAAGATCCCTTTATATGATGTATTTAGAAAAAATTTTAAATTCTTGAATCATTTTTTTCTAACTGCAATATTAGAGTTGTCCTTGATGGACAACACTCTTATTTATAAGATATAGGGTACCACAAGGTTCCATTCTCACTTCTGTATTGTTTCTTATTTACAATTTTTCTGATACTCTAACCTAAGGTGGCATTATTGGCTGATGACATCATATATACTCCAATCTAAACAAAATGTCATCAGTTATTGCTTATTAACTTACTATTGTCATATTTGGGCTGGTTTTTTAAATGATGCCCTTTCTCTTTTAGACAAGGTACAAAAAATATATTGTAAATGTAGTTGGACCTAATCTAAATGCAAACCTGAGCTTTTGTCCCATTTTTTGTAAGGCTCTACATTCATTTTTCTACAAATAATACTATGGTTTCTGCTTTAGCTAGCTTTTATCCTTGTTCCATCAGCTAAAACCCAATCTCTCATAGTTTTTCATTTTAGCAAAGTTGCTTTTTTTACTGTAGCTGTTTCCTTATGTTCAAAAAAATTGTATTTAGTTTTTTTTTCTTCTTTAAAATCAAACATCAATGCTTTAAACTTTTCTTCTGTCTTCATGTTTTCCTGACTTCAACAATTTACAGTTTTTTAATCTTATGTTATCTGTTTTCTTGCTTTTTAACTATCTTCTTTGCTTTCTGTTAACACCCAACTTAAAAGTTGCTAAAAGTAAATATTTTTAAGTTATTATTTATAAGTTATTATTTGTAAATGTATTAAGTATTATTTAAACAAAATTCAAATGACAAGATGAATTTTAGGTTGCTTACTATTTTTATGATGAAGGCAATGGAACGCGGCTTACTAATATTCCTGAATTTTGTATAAACAAACCAATTCAGCCCGGAGTATGTGCAACATCAGTAATGTGGGAAGCTCCAAATTGTGTAAGAAACCATTATTTATTTGACTGCTAATGTATTTTATGAAAAATTGCTCAGTAACCACTTTTTAAATGTTTTTGTCTTATGCTTGCAAAAAGCGTTTTTTTTTAACGTGCTTGATCAGTTTTTAAAGGGTTCCAAGGAGTCTAGGTACCCAACTTAATAGTATTGGCTTTACATCATGGCCTCAGGTTTAGTTTTTAAATTTTTTGAAAATAGTGTCATAAATTTTTTTTTGGTATATTCATTGCATTTTTATATAAATAAGAGCAGACAAATTTAATGACCTAAAATTGTGCTTTAAGCAAAATAGTTTAATTATAAAGTGCATGAAATACATAAAACATAAGTAAAATACACATCTTTTATTTATATAAATAACTCCACATCTAATGTAATGTAGAGATTTCTTATTTGAGCCAACTGATTTAATATATATTTAATTTCTTTATTTAGTATTACAGTTAAATGATGCCATGATTTTTTGAAATTCTTCAAAATCAAAGTTTTATCAAAATCATTAGAATGTATTTGATAAATTAATATTTATGTTTTGCTTTGTTATGTAAAAGTTGTTTAACAAAAATGTAAAGGTATTTTGTTAATTTGTATAAGTTCCCTTCATCATTCAAAAGCTTTTTTTTTTTTTTTTCGATGTTTTAGTTTGGCAGTGTTTCCAATTTTCAATGTTCCCATTGAATCCTCTTTTAATTTTTTTCATTTTTTTTTTTTGCTGGTAAAAACTAGCATTCATCAAATTGATTGCTTTTTAAAAAATTAGCGACTTGATAAAAATAATTTTTGAAATTAATGTTGAGATTTCAAAAATTTAAAAATAATTTTTGAAATCTCAACATTAAGTCTGCAGGTTTTACTTTTGAAATTGTCTGGATACAAATTAATAGACTCTGCAATTCATACAACTTTGTTCATTAGGGTGGTCCTTAAAACAACTTTTTTTTAAATGTCTGCTCTCACCCTCTAAATGTGTTCTATATAATAAAATAATACTAGAATTAAAATTTTTCAAAAAAAAAAACATTTTCAGGGGTAGCTCAAGACCCTTAAACATCAGACAGGTTCTTATAATTATCAAAAAAGTGTATATTATGTTGGGTCTCAAAAGCAAAATTGTATATAAATTATAATGTATTTTTATACTGATATCGTGTAGAATGCTATTGAACTTTTTACTTTGTTTAGATTGTTTTGAAGTAAAGATATTCAGTTAAAAAAAACTTGATTTGATTTTAAGCAAATATTATTGCAAGCAGAAATTTGTTTTGCCTATAAATTTATTTATTACTATTAAATTTATTTTTAGGGTATACATAAAGTTTGTATAAAAAGTCCTAAAAGTTTTTTTGTTTTAGAGTAATAATCTCAGTGCTCGAATTAAGTGATCGCAAATTGTGACATCTAGAAATGCTTCCTATCTTTACATTTTTAGCTTTTTAAAAACCATGTTTTTATAAGTAGTAAATTTATTGTTTTGTTTTTTTGTTTTTTTTTTCATTTATTTTTGCAATATGATAAATTGACCATTTCATTAAAACTGTTCACAGTTTTTAATAAACTGAGAATTTGATGATCAGAAATATTGCCAGAAAAATTTCAAATTTGAATTCACAGATTTGGTGATTTAATCTGAATTTCAATAATTTTACTCTACTTTTATCAAAAATAATCTAATTATTAATTATTTGATGTAAAAGTTTTTAAATTGATTTAAATGCTAAAAAGATTCAGGGATAAATAAAGTCTGACAAAAAAAAAATTGTATAAAAAATAATATAGGTAATATTTTAAAAAGGGGTCTAGAATCTAGAAATAAATTTTAAAATATAGATATATTAGCTCTAGGAATTGATTTCCACATATATTATTTTTTGTGCATTACGATGATGAAAATTGTTTTATATTCAGTTGTCCTAATAATTACAAGCTCTTTTATCAGAAAAATTTTTGCACACATTAGTTGAAACTAATTTTCTTTTATATAAACCAAAATTTCTATTTACTTTTAATTACTAAGAATTAATAGCAACAAACTGGAATGCCTAAATTTACTCTCTGATTTAACAGAAAAAACTGCAATACTTATGTGACTGTAAAGGTAGATTAGAATCAATTTGTTCTAAAGCCAATAATCAAATTAGCATCTAAAATCAAAAATACATATAATAAAGAAATAACTTTTAAACTCTTATACTTTTATAAAAACACAATGTTACACAAACATACAATAACAGTTTGTACTTTAACAGCTTGAAGTTTGCTATCAGTTTTGCTAATTCAAAGTGTTTTAAAAGAAGACTCAGATTCTGTTTCCGATTTCTAATTGAACGCAATTGTCTTAAGGTGGTACATTAAAAATTAGCTCAAAAATTTTTTAAGTGATATTTTCCTTTAGAGAGAGCACAAAATTCAAAACCAAATAAATTTATATAATTAAAAAAGAGTCAGTTGCAAACACTGATTTTATTAAAAACAATAAATACGCATAAAATGAGAGAGGGTTGTAACCACAACTAAAGTAGCCTCCTCAACTGGCCTTCATGGCCTTGGGGAGGTGAATTGAAATTAAAAAAAAAACAAAAAACATAAAACAAAAAACAAAAAACAAAAAACATTGATAAAGTTCTCAACATATTTCTGTGAGCCAATTGTTGTAAATAGGTTTTTTTTAAATAAACAAAGTCATACAGAAGAAAAATGTTATCATCAACAAATGATAACATTTTCACCGCATATTTTAAATAATAAACATTTCAAAAAACTTTTTATTTACTTTGTTAATATCGCTAAGAATAGCAACAATAAAACCACCACATTTTTTTTTTGTTTTAAATGTTTGCGTTTTTTGATCACATTGAAAATTACCATCTAAACCTGTTATTGGTAATGCCTCATACAAAACTGTTTTTTAATCCAAAACTTGAAAGCTCTATTTCTTTATCTGTTATGAATCAACATCTAAACTCATTACTGGTAATGCCAAAACAAAATCTGCACCAAACAAAGATTACATTATTAAATCCTGTTTAAATTAAACTTTTTTTATCAATTTATTTTTGGAAGTTTAAAGATTTATGAGAAATGTTATAAATTTAAAAAGTATTTGGAATTCGGTTTTAGTAAGGATTGTAGGAGCAATCGTAACTGAAAAGAATTTTACCTAAAGAAAAACTTTTTAAAAAAAGTTTAAATCTTGAAAATATTGTTGTGCGCTGGATGACAAACAGCCCCCTGAAAAAAGTAGCTTTTGTTAATGTATCAGTAGTTTCAAACAAAGAGAGTGAAACCGAAAATGTTTCCATATAGGGTTTTTTGTTAAATACTGTAAATTTTGACATGGTGTCCCAATTTGAAAGGTTCAAGAAAAACTTATCAACTTTCTTATAAAAGTTAAAATTTAAAAATTTTAAATTTTCTTAAGTTTAAATAAATACACTTTATCAATACAAAAACACAATATAAATCAATTAATTTAATCAATATGAGTTAATTGTTTTTATTATTTTTATAGTTTATTGTATTAATTATTGTTATTTTTATTATTATTACTTTGTAACTATAATTTAGTTTTAATAATTAAAATAAGTTTTAATTATAATAACTAATAAACACACAAGTATTTGTGACAATGTATAAAGTTGATTATTTAAACATACTAAAACATAAATCAATAATAAAAACTTAGCATTGTATTAACCACTGTTAAATGAATGAAAATGATGGCTAAATGCATTGATGACACTTATCTCATTTAACACAATTTAAAAGTGCTTATAATCTCCAAATTTCTGGTTATTTTTAAAATAATCCCAAGATATTGGGGTATTAAAATTAGAGTTGATCCTGGGATTGCAAAGCCTTATCCTAAATTATTTGCAATATTTTAAAGATTTGTATTTTTATTCCATTTAATGTAAATATTTTATTAACAAAGAAAGATAGATCTTTTGTAATTTTTTTTATTTAAAGATGAAATGTTTTATAGAGAAAAAAATACAAACAGTGAATTTTATAATTTTATGTGAAAATAGTTTTTTTTTTTAATAAACTTGTGGCATTTGCTATTCGGTCTAATTTATAAAATTTTATCTATTGAATTAGGGAGAAGTTGATGCAAATAATATTTTGATATCAGTGAAAACTTGTGAGAAATTTCATAAGACTAGAGGTAAAATAATTGTTTATATATGTTTTTTCTTTAATTGATTCTTTTTCTATAAACAGTTGATAGAATCAAATAGAAGTTTTTCAAAACTTTATTGAAATGCTATAAAAATTTAAATTTGTTTGAAATTAAGAACTACAACTAAAAATACAAGTTGGTTTACAAGCCAATTGCTATTTGCAGAGGAATCACGGATTTTACAGAACCAGATGTTATTTGCAATAAAATCATTTACATATTTTACAGAACAACTTGTTAAAATTAAATACTTATTTTCTATTTAAGTTTTTTTTTTTTTTTTTTTTTTTACATAGAAAATACGTTAAAAAATTACTATTATTACTTGTTACTTATATTATAATTAAAAAAATAGATTTATAACAACTTATCACTTATCTTGGATTTCAACAAAATCTGACATGCTACATGTTATTTTTTTAATCAAATCTTGAACTGAATCTTTTTTAATCTCGATGTTGTGCGCTTTTTTTTTAAATATTTTCATTATATTTTTTCTTTCTTTTTTTCTACAAATTACTTTTTTCTACAAAATACTTTTTCTTTTTTTTCTACAGCCTTTTTCCATCTACGAAAACTTATTTTGTGTGACTTTAACAATGATTGTTTTTTCTGCGTACATCAAACCTTTCAAAGTCTCCTCTTTTTTTTTACCTGATTCATATAATTTACAGTTTTAACTTTTGATAAATTCTCTTTTATGCTCTATAACACTTTCTTTTAGTTACTCCTAATTTAGGCTCTAACCTTTGTTGGGACTGTCTTAATATAAAATTAAATTTTTCCCCGCAAATTTCTGTTGAATTATCTTTATATATGTATATATTTATACATATGCTTGTGTGCACAAGTTGAACAATGTATGAAACGTCACTCATGGCGTGATACTGATCGATTTAGATTGTTTCTTCCTGTTAAAAAGAAGTAAGTTTAGATGAATTGTATAGTCTGCAGTTTTTAGGGTTAACTGTTAACCATCATCTTGCTCTTTGACAGCTTTTCTTTGTTTCTAATGACTTTTTAAATATAAGTTAAAATTAACTAGGCATTTTATATTTTTTATTTAGTTCCTATTGTTCAAAAAACTGTTGCTTTGGATGCGAAGAATATAGTTTATTACAGTGATGTTATTGACAAGAATATCCCTACAGAATATGCTGATATTGCAAATACAGAAAGAGGTCATTGCCAAAAACTTTTTAATATATTACAAAAATTTTTAACTAATAAAAAATGGGAAAAGTTTACGTGGCTAGTTGTTATTGACGACGACACAATTATGAAGTAAGTTTAACAGTGATTATTCTTTAAACGAATATCAGTATTAACTTTGATAATATATATGAGATTTTATTATTATTATTTTAGCATTAAATATTTATTATTATTTTAGCTTAAAATATTTATTATTATTTTAGCTTTAAATATTTATTATTATTTTAGCTTAAAATATTTATTATTATTTTAGCATTAAATATTTATTATTATTTTAGCTTAAAATATTTATTATTATTTTAGCTTTAAATATTTATTATTATTTTAGCTTAAAATATTTATTATTATTTTAGCATTAAATATTTATTATTATTTTAGCTTAAAATATTTATTATTATTTTAGCATTAAATATTTATTATTATTTTAGCTTTAAATATTTATTATTATTTTAGCTTTAAATCCTTGCAAAAGTTACTAGCATGTTATGATTCTAATGAACCTATGGTCATAGGTGAAAGATATGGTTATGTGGTTAATCAAAATGTGCATGGATATGAGTATCCGACTGGAGGGGGAGGGTAAGTTAAGAATTTCTTCTTGTTATTGACTAAATCTCCAATTAGGTTTGATTTATAGTAATTTGGTAGACAAACCATAAAAAAAATATTGCTTAATGATTATAAATTGAACCTAATAATTAAATAATAAAAATATAAAAAGTAAATTTAAAAACACTTTTGTTTTATAGGATGGTTTTAAGTCGTCCTGCGGTGCAGTTGATTGTAAATAGTATCTACAAGTGTCATAATGCTGACGATCCTGATGATATGTGGCTAGGATCAGCACTTAAGCAGCTTGGTATTTCTGTAACTCATACAAACTCTTTTCATCAGGTTGGTATAAGTTTTTTGTGGTTTTTTATGGTTTTTTGTTTTTTAATAAAAGTAATTTTATTATTTTGTTCGCGTGTTTATCAAATTTTAACAAAGGCTTTAAGACAGATTTAACTTACTTTGAGATGTGCCCCTTAAAATCTTTGTGACGGCCCCTTAAAATTAATTTAATTACTTTAATACAGTTTGCTTGGTCTTTTAATCTGATCCTTGTCGCAATCATGGATATTTTAAATTTCAATCAATCACTTTGCAATTTTTTTCTTAAAATGTATGTTTTAATGTGTCAATTACATTCAAGACTTTACAGTTTTATCCTTTTTTATATACTATGTTAAAACTTTTTCTTTTTTTTCATCAAGGCACAGCCAAATCAGTACAATGAAGAATTTTTATCGCATCGCTATTTGGTTTCTTTCCACAAACATGAAGGTATGAGTCCTATGGATGTCTTCACAAAATACTTAACCAATCAAGCAGCAAAAAGTAATAGCAAAAAGAGAAAAAGCGAAGAGCTATGATATTTTCCTTTTTTCATTTAGTTTATATTTATATATTTATTGGTTTGGTTTTTAATTTTTTATGCATCAGAAATTTTTTAATCGCAGTTAACTCATAGCACAATTAGCAGTTATTTAAACGTTTCTAATGATAAATTTAGCTTAAAATTTTTTAAAAAAAAATACTGAAATATCTATAATAACTTTCTTCCGTCACGAAGAAGCAAACAATTCTGTCTTAAAGAATTATGGTTACTACTACTATTATTTATCATCATTTTAATAAAGTTTGCATTTTTTAATTTGCATATTACATTGGTAACTAGCTAAGTAACTAAGTAATTTTATTTATGCAAAAATTGTTTTTTATTATTTATTATTACGGTATTAAATATTTTTTAATGTATTTATAGCCGATATTTGAAGCGTGTACACTTATGTATTTGATCATCTTTGATTAAACACGATTTTTTTTTTAAAATAAGAATATTGATTTAATAAACACAAAATCAAGAGTCTGATTAAGTGCGAATCGGAAAAAAATCGAATGATTACAAAAACATTATTAACTACAGTGCCCCAAAATAATTATTTTCAAAAATACAGTGCCCCAAAATAATAATTTTCAAAAATTGACATAAGTGCGAAGAATTTGCCTAAAATTAAATAAGTGCAAAAAAATATATAACGATATATAAATATATATCGATATAAAAATATATATCGATAGACTTTTTCATAAATATCTTCGACGGATAACGGAGATTTTCAAATCTAGGGAGGGCTTGCCAAAATCAAAACAAACTGAGCGTTTATTACGTTATAAGATTCAAAGTGATGTAGTATTTTTTTCATTTGCTTTATAAAATTAAACCTTTAATCAACATATTATTGTTTCTAGAATAGTAGTAGACAAATATTAAATAAAATATAGAGTTGTTCTCTTTATGTATTCTCATGTATGTCAAAAGCTTTCAAACGCTTTTGACATACATGAGTAGATTTTAATATCTCGATGTTAAAAAATTGTTTAGGTGACATTATCAACAGTTATTTCCGAATTACATTAACTATATGATCATTTCTTTTAGCATTTTTAATATTATTATTTATTAGTTTTTAATGTAATGATCGGAAAATATGCATCCTGTTGTTAAATTTTATCAAAAGTTCTACGATATCATGCTTTTTTGTTTGTCGTTGTTTTTGTGTCTTTCTTTTTTTGAATTTTCTGGTAAAAAAACTAATATTTGTTGGAATTTTAATTCCATCTACAAAATTAGGGCTTTATGAAAAACATTAAATAACAAATAATTTGTTTTTGTGGTTTTATGCGTAGGCATAAACGTTCCATAAAAAATAAACTTTATTGTTTGAAACACAATTATTTAAAATGAGGTTAAATGTAGCAGAACGAAAATCTTTTCAAAAGCGACTCAAAATGTTTATTATAAATAAACCTAATATAAAAAAAAAAAAAGAAATCGTAAATTATTTTGAAAATGAAGCATTTGCTCAAAGTACAATAATGCTAACCTAAAAAGATTTAAAACTGTTCAATCCACGTTTTTCACCATCTTGATTAGTTGCTTTATTAAACGTTAATCATCTTTTTCATCTTTTTTACAAGAACATTTCTCTTAAGAACATATGTCCTTTTATTATTGCAAGGAGCCAATGTAAAAAAGTCCTGTCTGATGTTAACCTCTGTTATTCTCAGTTTACTAAATCTTGTATCTTAACTTAGATGTTAGGTTCTAGAGACTTTAGGTGAGCCTTCAACAGCGTCATTAACTAAAGTAAATTTAACATTTTATCTCAAATACATGGGTCTGATCTTTTTACTTCTCCCCAAAATAAAGCACAGTTATTTGCAAAGAAATCTGACTCTAATTTGAATATAAATTTCATACTCTTCCTGACAGTTAAACAGATTAACCCATTGTTAAACATTGTAATCACTCTGGTTTCCAATGTTAAAGTTAAATTCTCAATCAAACACTTCTGCAGTTTGTGTTTCAGACAAGATTTCTATCATAGTCTTTTTTTTTTTAACTTTATTTAGGTGCCCCAAAAGATCCTTACGGTTATTCTGGAGAACACTTAAAATTATTTTTTCCTGAAATCTCTTCAATTTTTGCTAAACTTTTAAAAAGTGCTAAATAAGTGGTTTCAATATTTCAAAACTCTAAAAAACACTTTGACCTTTCCAACTATCCTACCATTAGTCTTGTTATTACTTTCTTTATATAAAAGTTTTGAGGTTACTAAATTATTTCTTTCTAACTGCAGTAGTAAAGTTATTCTTGAAGACCTACGCTCTTATTTATTTCAAGTAACTTTAAAGGTACCACAAGGTTCTATATTTAAAGTATAGTTATAATAAAACTATAGTTAAAGGTTACCACAAGGTTCTATCTTTGCTTTTGTATTGTTTCTTATCTACGATAACAATCTTCATGAAATCTAAAGTGGCTCTATATCGCGACGTTAGAATTATCTTGTTCTATCTCCACATTTTTGAGTTTCGAGATAAAGCGATTTAAAAAATAATAACTTTAGGAGGCAGCATATAAAAACAATTTTTTTTTTCTTTTGTTTTCTCCGCAACTTTTTAACTTATAACTTAGGTTTCAATACAATAGAAAAACATTATTCTGAGGTACATCACACTATCAATAATTCAATATTTTGAAAAAGTGGAGATAAAAGATGATAATTCTAATGTCGCGATTTGTTAGTGGCAAACAATAAATTAAAACTAATTCTTGCTTGTTTCTTATCTCACAATTTGCATCCTTTTACTGTATGGGCCTCCAAAAAACCTCATTTTTAGCCGGGGCCCTGGTCACTTACTATATTGATTCACAAGTAACATGGGGACTTAAACTATTTATTTTGGCTAGATTTAGCAAGTTCTCATTATCCTAAAGATTCTCTAAATTGGATGGACCAATATGTCTATTACGTTGATGAAGAATCCAATCCCCAAAATGTACCTCAACCACGACCAATTAAAAACTTTTTGGGGCATTTGGCACAGAAAGTTTACGAGGGAGATTAGCAAGCTTCAACAGAGTAAGTTTTGATTGATTGAATGAAATTAAAACTACAAGAAATTGATTTAAATTTTTTACAATCACTTATGAAAGGCGCCATAGCAAAATTGAGATCAATTGCAGATATTAGTGTTTTTTCATTTAAAAAATAACTTATTTTTTATTAAAAGATATAGTTATTGACGTTTTTATTTTGTCCAATAACTTACGAATCACCTGTTACCAGTTACTGTTTTGTTTTGTTTTTGATTTAATTTCTGCCATTTTTAAAAAAAGTGGGTTTTTTTACATTATAACAAGCACAACCTGGTTTTAAGGACTATTTTTATGAAAAGTTCTATTAAAGTGACAGCAAAAGTTTTACACCTTTTTAAGATGTTATTAATAATTTAAAAGTTATTAATAACATCGTGAAAAAGGTGTTATTAATAACTTTCAAAAGTTTTCAATAAGAAATAAAAAACTTTCAATAAGATAAAAAAAGTCATGAAAAATGCATTTGCGATTTAGGCGGTAAATCGAAAAATCCTATTGGGTGTCAGTTAAAACTTTCTTTCTTTTTTTTTTGTTTGTGAAAAATTTAATTGAGAATTCGGCCAAACCCTCTAAACGATTCCCAAATATAACCCTCTGGTGAAACATAGCCAACATCCACACGTTACAAAAATCTGCAATAAATGATCCTCTGCAAGTTTCTATCATGACAACATTTGTTGTTGATATAGCTGCAATCAAACAACATTTTTTGTTGATATAGCTGCAATCAAACAACACTTTTTGTTGATAAAGCTGCAATCAAACAACATTTGTTGTTGATATAGCTGCAATCAAACAACATTTGTTGTTGATATAGCTGTAATCAAACAACATTTGTTGTTGATATAGCTGCAATCAAACAACATTTGTTGTTGACAGCTGCAATCAAACAACATTTGTTGTTGATATAGCTGCAATCAAACAACATTTGTTGTTGACAGCTGCAATTAAATGTTTGTGCCTTTTGAAGCAGTATTTTTCTCTTCTTTTCTGTTTTTGAGTTTCTCAACAAAAAAAGTTAAAATTTATTCATCCAATTAAACTATCTGATAACGACTTGTGGTATGCTCGTTGATGTTCCTTATATATTTAGCTCTTTTTTTATTTGTTTCATTATTGTTTGTAGTAGAAGGCTCTTTGTGCATTTTTAAAAAGAAAAAACAATCTGCCTTTGAGCGATTGTTGTTGTCCTGACGCTAATATTATGTCAACTGACAGTCATTAAAAATTCATGTAAGCTTTTTTCGATTTAATTCTCAGTTATTTTTTGGTTTAAAACCACCTCTTCCGATAAAATTTAACTTTCCGCCTTAAACCCGATTGCAAATTGTCATATATTTGACATCTAAAGTTTGTGCTAGAGTCATCCAATCTTCATTTTGTTCAGCACATTTAACAATTCGTCTTCTATCATGCGATGAAGATAAAACGTAATGTTTTCTTTCAACTTGTTCAGTTGAATGTATTTCATGCCGACAAATTTGATAAGTTGGTTCTAGTTGCTCAAGAAGTGGATGTATGCAAATTTGGTGAAATAAATCCTGGTTTTCAATTAATAACAGATTTCCGGATTATAGTGTATTGAAAAATAACACAACGATCTTTCAATTCCATTATCATTAATGGAACTTACAAATACATAATTTGTTTTGGAGCTTACAAATAGGGCTATTGCAAGTAACTTAGGTACTTAAGTAATTGTTTAAACAAATCAAGTACTTAAGTAAGTTTTTATGGCTTAAGTAAAATCAAACAACTTTTTTTTCTGAATTAAATTAACAGAAAATTAGTATTTTATAAAAATTTGCATAAAATTTGTCCGATTTTTAATTTAGAATCCTAAAATTAAAGTATAACATTTAGTTTAAACATTGATTATTTCTTGGTTTTGTTTTACCATATTTTCGAAAAAAAAGATTATGATTTAGCCAATCCAAAAAAAGTATAAGTTTTAAATTATAAGAAATTATGTCAGGAGATATGCATTTTCATGATCTTAAAGATTATAAAAGCATCAACAGTTGAATGTAAAACCTCCAATGTTGAAACTAAAGAATCTTTACAAAAAAAGAATGACTGAAAAACTTCACTATTTTCTGCGCCAAACTCCAATTTAATAAAAAACAAGACTTACTTAAATGTTTTTGATTGCACCAAAAAAGAAATAATTGAATTTAAAGGATCAAATGACCGTATAAAAATGCTTAAAAAATTGCACTGTACTTTAAGTCTTTATCAGCATCATCAATTATTACTGAAAGATGCTTTAGTGCTCTAGACTTTTTTTTATTGCAAATTTGAGAACATATTATTGAGTGATAAATGTTCAGCATTCTATCTTGAAAGTTTAGTCAGATTATGATTTGTTATACCTATACTATATACTACCTAATACTATATCACACAAAAATGTAATATTAGATGTAATTTTTCATTGTTTAGAAAATAATTAAAATTACTTAAAATTACTTAAGTTACTTAAGTAATTTGAAAAAATTAATTAAAATTACTTAAGTAATTTTATTCCATTACTTAAAACCCCTCTTACAAATACTTAATCGGTGGAAACTAAATTCCAGTGAGCAAATCCAGGTTTCGCGTTTTTTATAAAATTCTGATCCAAATATAATAAGTGCTTGAATATCGAATTCGTTTTTTATAGTGTTATACAAATTTTGCTATAATTTATATAGTTAAACAAAATTTGCTATAATATATTGAAAGTAATTATTTAATATAATAAACATATTAAATTATTTATCTATCGCAAACTATTATAAGAAAATGAATACAAACGGTTTAAATAAATTTAAATAATTCGAGTCTTGATTTTACAAAAAACGCGAAACCTAGAAAACTAGTAGTAGTCCGAAAACAATGATTAAGTAGGTCGATACTTTTTTCACTAGAAAAAAGAAACTAGAAAACTAGTAGTAGGAGAACTAGAAAACTAGTAGGTCGATACTTTTTTCACTAGAAAAAAGTATCGATAGTAGGTCGATACTTTTTTCACTAGAAAAAAGTATCGATAGTAGGTCGATACTTTTTTCACTAGAAAAAAGTATCGATAGTAGGTCGATACTTTTTTCACTAGAAAAAAGTATCGATAGTAGGTCGATACTTTTTTCACTAGAAAAAAGTATCGATAGTAGGTCGATACTTTTTTCACTAGAAAAAAGTATCGATAGTAGGTCGATACTTTTTTCACTAGAAAAAAGTATCGATAGTAGGTCGATACTTTTTTCACTAGAACCTACATAACCTACATAACTAGACCTACATAACCATTGTTTTCGGACGAGAATGGACTTACCCTTAGTTAAAGGTAAGTCCAATCTCGTCCGGAAATAATGTACTGGACACGAAACTGTGTACATCTACTCACACGATGAAATTTGATTTGTTTTTGTTAACTGGTACAAATCTCTGCATACTTTTTCTACTACTGATGTTTTTTTAAAATCGTGCTATATATTTTTTTTTAATTTTTTGTATTTAGATTTTTAAAAAAGGTTTTTATAAAAGTCAGATGAAGGCGGGTTAAATTTCTATGATAGCAAAGATTTTATTCAGAGTTGTAATGTGGTATAAAAATGAAAATGACAAGAGTAATACAAATAATACTAAATTTCTTAAAATTTGTTTTTAAATAAAAAGAAAAATTTAGTTATTAAATAAAAAAAAGTTAAAAACTGCTTTTATTGCGAAAGAAAACTCTTAATAAATTAAGTTTTAAAACCATTTTGAGAAAAGTTCGCATTGTTCTATAGCTGGTATGTACTATAATTTGCAGAAGCTAAAAAATTTTGGGTTGAAATTTGAATTTTGCATCTTTTGACTAATGCTAAATATAGCAAAAATTGGATTTTTTTAAAAAAATAATAATAAATCACTATTAGATTTGTTTCAAAAATATATTTTCATATTTTAAGAATTTAATAGCAATATTATTGGCAAAATATTTTTTAAACATTACATTTTTTTTATAGTGGAAAATATTTCTCATAGTTTTACTAAATACCAATGCTTTTTTTGAATTTTTTAAAATAAATATTTTTAAATTGTATTTTTAAATAAAAATTTTAACATTTTTTTAAAATTGTATTTTAAATTTATACAGTTTTCTAATTGATTTATATTTAGTTTGCATGCACACAGTTAGTCTTGAAGTAAGTTTCAATTTTGTTTAAGAAAATTTTAGACTTTAATTAAGATTATATATATATATATATATATATACAGGGGTCGAAATAAGTGCTGGACATTGCCACCCCTCAGGCCATTTTTAAGACCTGCTAGATGAGGACAATAAAACCATTGTTTATTTTTTCAGTAAAAATGAACAATGGTTGGTTGCCCTCATATAGCAGGTCTCAAAAATGGTCTGAGGGGTGGCAATGTCCGGCACTTATTTCGACCCCTGTGTATATTTATATATATATATATATATATATATATATATATATATATATATATATATATATATATATATATAT